ATATTCCAATAACATAACCTCATTACTGATCTGAGGCTGGAAATCTGTTGGGTTGGTACTTCCGAACTTCACGAAGAAATTGACGAAAATTAGAACATGCTCTAATTCGTCAAGAACTTGATGAATAAATTGATGAAGTTATTTGACAGCTGATTTGGTGCATTACACTTGTCCAATTTCTTGATGAAGCGACTTCATCAATTAATAATTGATCAATAAATTGTCAATGTAAAACAGCTTTGAGGCATATACTTTTGAAGCCAACAGTGCTGCATGCATTTTTTTAAAATCGCATTATCTTGAAAAGGGCTAATTTTAAATATGGGAAAGTTTATACAAAGTGACACTAAAATTTAACGTAGAATCCAAAAATGCAATAATATACAGGGTGTTTCATTTAAAATAACAAAGATGGTGGCAACTTCTGGTATAAGCGGAAGTGCAACAGTTTTGAAAATATTTTCATTGAAACGTTCATGACCGGTAACCTGGGTAACTTTGTATCCTAATAGTTGCGTGAATAACCCTATATATACAGGATGTCCCAGAATAACGTGTAACAACGGAAGACCACAGATTCGTGCAGATTTAAGCTAATTTACCTATATCCAATATACCTTCGTTTGGCCGCTAGATGGCCTCAAGGTTCATGAAAATTTTTTGAATTTTGTAAATAACTCGAATACACATTATTCGATTTTGATTATTATTGGGGTGTGGACTTTTGGTGGTATACAGAGTGTTTTTTTTTAAACTTAAAACTCCTACAAAATTGATACAAAGTGCTAGCAGGCTCTGATTTTGTAGATTGCCTGTAATTTTAGTGAAAACAAATTTAATTGATTTTTATTAGTTATAAAATTATTGTAAGTAGCATTATAAGAGTGCATTAAAAATTTAAACATAGATACGTTATTTTTCATTTCTCTCTCACGGTAAAACCAATGATTATTTTGAGCTCCCAGTTTTTATACATACCCTTTGGAGTCTCAGCTATCAATTCCCATTTAAAAATTTTCGATTTTATTCATTTTAGCAAAAATTAGATTTTTTTTTAATTTCTTCGAAAAAATACTTATAAACATTTAGAGCTGGAGCTACCGTATTTGCATATTCTTCAAATGTAATTATTGGATCAAATAGAGGAAGGATTAACGAAGAAAATCTACTTTTGGATGATCTTGTGGATACGATGAATTGTCATCGAGATATGAAAGTTCAAAATTGAGAAGTGAGTTTACGGCAAAACAACGTACTTTACAATAACAATCAAAAGTGATTTTGATTGTTTGAATGAAAGATAATTTCAATCAATTTTTTTTCATGTGTTTTCACGAATACTGTATTGCAGCAACAATAATGCACATTTTATTTTGGAGAGGATCTCAATACAAAACTTTTCCTTTGACTATTTCAGCGGGCGTATATCGCACTTATCATTTTACATAATATTTAGAACTATTTCCAACAAAAATTAGCGTTACTATATGAAACATACCTACAACCTAGTTTTAAAACAGTGATCGACTGGACTATTTGGCACAAACATGTAATTACAACATCAATATAATAATTAGAATTAAAATTTTTTTATGTTAGTTTTTGCTTCTAAAATATTATCATTTCTTTAAACTAAAATATCTAGAAAGGATAATGTATTATTGTTTTCTATTTCCAATGTAAATTTAATTGTTGGTTCCTTGTTATTAATATTTTTTTATATCAGAATAATGGCTTTCGTACTAAAATGTAAAAACATTTCAGTTTAAAATAACCGAAATATAGCAACCTTCCAAGAAAAGTGAAACACAGTGTAGGTATAAGAAAAGTTCAATAAATGATTGCAGTTTATGACCACATAGACAGGGGGTAACAGATTTTAGATGCGCACAGGAAAATCCAATTTAAAGGATGATACCATACTTACCACCTTGTGTATGGTCAGCTTCATAACCAAGAATAGAAATAAAAGGTAAACTCTCGCTAATGTAATTTATTCTTCTACATAATTTAATATCATTGTCTACATCTAATTCTTAGAAATAAAACTATAAATAAGTATATAATATTTTAAATTTATAATCATTAATAATCCAGTGGATTATTATCACTAACCGTAATTTTTCCAAAAGAGTAATAATTATTCTATGTATTACTGCAGTTAATAATAAAGTATACATACGTAATAATATATGAGCTAATGTATTACACAATAGAATTTGTCACATTCCAGATATTCATTAATTTTCTACAATTATATATTTTCCATAGAAAAGTCATAGCTTGGTAAATTATTCCCAATATCGGAAATACTAATCCCAGTCATGGTAAGACACAATTTTTATCTAATGAAAATTAAATTCCATAGAAATGTCTATTTTTTGTCTTATAAATATATTTTTCCCTTCCTCATCTTTAACATGCAGTTGTTACATTTTGTATAGGATTACTGCCAAAACTCCTTAAACTTTCAATCACTTTAATATAGACAAATTAAGTTGATATGTTTTGCTAGTACAAAAGCTTTATTAAATATATAAGTATGACTACGAGATGTGGTTTAAAAGTGGCACATTGTACAGCTTTACTGGCTTCACAAACATTTCTGTTAGCTGTGATGAAATCTTCTATAAATTTTTCTACTCCAGGTGTCTTGTCGCAATTTTCCTTTATAATATTCGTGAAACAGTAAGGTGTGTCTAAGACGTTCCTAAAACAAAGTATACTTTGGCACATTAATTCTACTTAATTAAATTTGGATATTTTCATTACACGAGGTACATTTCAAAAATAAGTATTTCTAGCGAGGCTATTGGCAATTACATGCGTCGAAACGTAGATCTTTCACTGAATGTGAATACTGACAAAATTTCATGACATTTGGACGAATAGAAGCGGAGTTGTTGCGTCTAAAGTGACAGTATGTATGTGTCATCGGTACAAAAATGAACATCGAACAAAGAGGTAATAATAAGTTTTGTTTTAAACTTGGTAAAACTTTTTCCGTTTCAGTTGATGAACCAAGTTTATGGTAGAGTTCATGAGTGGTACACGCGATTTAAAAACGGTCGTGAAGACATAAATGATGACCAACATGTTGGCCAACCAAAATCCGTTATCACCCCAACTTTGATTTTGCCGAAAAATACGTTTTGTTGTTTTTATTTTTAAAATGTTCTCGTTATTTTGGAACGCACCCTGTATTTTGTATACATAGAGTGTCTCATTATACAGGGTGGTCCAGTTTCAGATGCGGAAACTTCAGGTACCGACAGAGATTAAAAAAATAATATGAGTTTGATATATAAACTATATTCGAAAAATGCTTCGTTAAGGAAATACAAGGTGTTCAAGATTGATTTAATAAAATCAAATATATCAATTGTTGTCAAACGGCTTAAAATTGTAGACGTTAACTACCATCGAGAGAGCACGTTTTGCAATGAAAAACATTATTTTTAGTTTTGCCAGTGGCGTCCGTACTAGCACGTTACTGGATATTTGTAAAGAAAAAATTGATATGCCACTGCTTTTACATAAAATAAAAATCAGTTTTGGATTCTTCATCCAAGAAAAAAGCTTTCTTTAGATTTTTCTGATTCTGATTTTTCTCAGCGTTTTCGAGTAAAAAAATAAAAAAACCTTTTAACACATACAATGTAAATGTAATTTCATTTTTTATGTTAATGAAACTGTAACAGGAAAAACAATAACAACAACAACAGCAGCAAAATGAAATAAAAATGTAAGTTAAAGAAATTGCTCGAGATGTAATTCACCCACCTCAGTACATTTTCGACATCGTGTAACTAATGAATTTATTACAGCATCTACTTCATTTGGATTATCCGCATATCATTGCAGGCTTGCTGAATCCTTAAAACTAAATCATCTCTTGTTAACACTGGAGTAGCGTAAACATTGTTTTTTATATTTCCCCAAACGTAAAAGTCCAGTGGATTAAGATCCGGTGACGTGGGTGGCCAGGCCACTGGTCCAATACCTACCCATTAACCACGTTATGATTCATGTCATTCCTCCCTAGTCGGCCAATCCAACGTTGCAGATAATTAGTATTTAGCCATTCTCTTACCCGGTATATCCTCGATGTAGTCCTGCAGGTTATTAGTAAGAAATTCAAGAAACAGTTCTGAGTTTAACGTTTAACCTTGAGAAGGAAAATGTGGACCACAAACATTATTATCAAAAACTCCCAACAACATTTACGGAAAATTGATTTTGAAATGATCGTGGCCGAACATATTGTGGATATTGTGGTAATCCGTTATTCCACGTGTACTGAATGAGGATTCATCCGCTCACAGAATTTTGTGCAAAAAGTTAGGATTTTCTTCCGCCGAGTTTAAAAGCCACTAGCAAAACCTCATTCGCGTTTCAGCATCCCCAGGGTTTAAATCCTGAATGGGCTGTAGGTGATATGCATGCCTATGGTCATCTCGTAATGTTCATAATATTTGGGACTTATTGTTAGATATTTGTAGTTGCTGAGCTGCCCTGCGAGAGCTGAGCCTCGGATTGGCATCAAAATTATTAAGAATACGATTCCGATTGTTGTTGCGATGTTATGTTCATTATTAACACGAGCATCTGGAATTCTTCTGTTTGGATAACGTATTCGATATTCACGAACTGCCGCTTCCGCATTTCCAGCACAAAATCCGTAACAAAAATGAATATCGGCGTATTCTTCGTAACTAAAAAGCACTTTTGAGCATAACACTAATATAGACCGGGAGATATTAGACTGAAGTTCGACGACGTCTTTCTCGTTTATGCCTCTGAGAGTACTGAAAGGTAACCGAGAGACAAGTACAATAAACTAAATTTAAAAGATGGGATGCCAGACACCTTCGTGAAAATTCAATTTTCCTTTTCAAAAAAATAATGTGTACAGCGACGTATTTCTCACTTATGCCATGTTCGTAAGTTGAAGAGAAGTATCGATTTTATCACGAAATTTTTTTGGCATAAGTGTCGCAAGAGACCTAAATATGGAAAACTTTGTAAGAAAATGTGGAAAAACATCTTTATTTGTCTACCAATTTCTCATTAATGCCAATTAGAAATATGACATTATTATATTCGAAAAGCTCATAAAAAACATTGGCATAAGTCCTACTAAGGACTAAAGAAAATAGGGCTTTGGAAAAGCTGCGGAAAATTTTTCGTTTTGGTCAACGTTTTTCTCGTGAATAAATTAAAGCTTATTGCAAAGAAAAAAATGAAAGTATTCATTTTTTTTAAAGGGCATAAGTCCCTGGTGAGGACTATATGCTAAAAATTTTTTGAAAAGTTGTAGGAAAATTCATGAAAATTTTTACGTCTTTCTCGCTTATGCCATTTTGCATGCACGTAGGAAACTACATTATAAAGTCATATAAATGTAGGCATAAGTCCACATTGGATTTTCATGTTGTAAATTAATTTGAATTTTAATACGAGTCAGGTCGACAAAGTAGAAAAATAATAGAAAATTGCCACAATTTTCTCGTTTATGCCGTTTCGTACACGAGTAGAAAATATTACTAAAAGCCATTTTCAAGAGTGGCATGAATGCCACAAGGTACCGTCGTATGTAAAAATTTTTAAAAAGTTTATTTCATCGCCTACGCAATTTTCGAAATACTTATACTTACTTGCATTTAGCGTATTTTTAATTTTTATAAATATAAGTAATTCATGTATTTAATGAAAGTTAATAATAAACTATTTCGGCTTAAGTCCCCACATATTAGAAATGATTTTTAATTATTCTTTGAGTCATGATCAGAAAAAGAAAAATTATATAATATTGCCACAAATTTCTCGTTTGTTCGTAAATGAGTAGAGTATTTTATCACAATAGACCATACGTATTTATGAACAATATATTTAAATTTTAAAAATTAAAAATATTATATAATTTGAATTAACCGCTTCAGTGCAAGGATGATCTACTTGAATTGAGCCGACTAAGGTAGAAGAAGAAGAAGAAGAAGAAGAAATAATTAAGCTAGAATACATAGGGAAGAAACTGATTTATAACTGATTTAATATCATGTATATTGAATTTTGTTTTTTGTTTCTGGTACTTTGTACCTTAATTACTTAATTTGTACTTTTATACATTTTATTTTTATATTAAAAGATTTATTTAAGTAATAGTAATTGAATTGAAAAACCGCTGCCAACTCAATTGTCAGAATGCTTCCTCAAAGACTTTGAATTACTAATTTTTAATTATAACTAACACAAACAATAACACTTAAAATAATACAAATTTTTATTAACTTAAAATTAAAGCATATCAAAAATAAAAAGTTTTTTCGGTTTTATGATTTTTTACATTTTCAAATTTCAAACAGTTTTATCTGCAGCTCTTGATGAAAACGGATCAAAATAAAGGCCTTACTACCAGCTTTATTATAAGTTATTAAGAATTATCGTAATAAAAAATAACATGTCGAAAAATCAAACTAAACCCAATATAAAGCTTTCTCTTTTTCATGAAATTTTTTTTATTTTAAATTTTTTATTCCCTTTTATAGTTAGAAATATTCATTTTTTATATAGATATCTTCTCCGACACTTGCATTATTTATCATACATTTTTTAAATTAATTTAAGTATATCGAAAATTGCGCAGGCGAGGAAATAACCGCAATTTGTAATTTTTGACAACTTTTTAAAAAATTTTACATACGACGGTACCTTGTGGCATTCATGCCACTCTTGAAAGTGGCTTTTAATAATATTTTCTACTCGTGTACAAAACGGCATAAACGAGAAAATTGTGGCAATTTTCTATAATTTTTCTACTTTGTCGACCTGACTCATATTAAAATTCAAATTAATTTACAACATGAAAATCCAATGTGGACTTATGCCTACATTTATATGACTTTATAATGTAGTTTCCTACGTGCATGCAAAATGGCATAAGCGAGAAAGACGTAAAAATTTTCATGAATTTTCCTACAACTTTGAGACTTATGCCTTCATATTGAACCCATAGAGGAGTGATGCCTACTTGACACAGTACATTATTTATAGTAAGTATCATAAATTTTCAACGGCATAAATGAGAAAGTTATAGAATGAAAATAAAAATTTTCCGCAGCTTTTCCAAAGCTCTATTTTCTTTAGTCCTTAGTAGGACTTATGCCAATGTTTTTTATGAGCTTTTCGAATATAATAATGTCATATTTCTAATTGGCATTAATGAGAAATTGGTAGACAAATAAAGATATTTTTCCACATTTTCTTACAAAGTTTTTCATTTTTAGGCCCCTTGCGACACTTATGCCAAAAAAAATTGTGATAAAATCGATACTTCTCTTCAACTTACGAACATGGCATAAGTGAGAAATACGTCGCTGTACACATTATTTTTTTGAAAAGGAAAATTGAATTTTCACAAAGGTGTCCCGCAGTCCATCTTTTAAATTTAGTTTATTGTACTTATCTCTCGGTTACCTTTCAGTACTCTCAGAGGCAAAAACGAGAAAGACGTCGTCGAACTTCAGTCTAATATCTCCCGGTCTAATAGTAACTATAACAATAACAATAATTACAAATCTAATTACTAGGGAGGTAACTAAATATGACACAGTTACTAATTAATTTGACAGACAAATTTGTTATTTTGTCGTACTTGTTCAATTGTTTTTCAGATATCACTTTGAAAACACTGAGTCGTACAGAAAAATCGAAAGAGAGCTTCTTTCTTCCAAATTGAATGTAGAATCCAAAACTGATTTTCATTTTATGGAAAAGCAGTGGCGTACCAACATGCTAGTACGGACGCAACTGGCAAAACTAAAAATAATGTTTTTCACTGCAAAACGTGCTCTCTCGATGGTAGTTAACGTCTGACAAGAGTTCATTGAAATATCTTTAGCCGCTTGACAACAAGCATTTTTCGAATATAGTTACTTATATTATTTTTTGAATCTCTATCGGTATCTGCACCTATAATAAAAAATACTTGATTTGAAATTAAAAATATTATTCTTTGATTAATACTAACGTGAATATTATGAATTTTTTTGTGGTTTTCAGACGTATTCTTCAAAAAGCTGAATCAGCTTTATTAATGACTTATTACTTGTACTTACTGACAAAATCTCTCCTTGGTGTCTGGTATACGACGGGAATCGCCAGTACGAATAGCACTATTCTTTAGACATTGAAAGTAGTCTGCTTGCACTCTCCTATTCTCTAATTTAGGGAAGCAGTCGACCATATTTTCTAAAACAAGACTTATTGATAACTACTAGTCACAAAAATTAAAAGGTAAAATTTTTTAAAATTCTTAGATGGTTTTCAAAAGATTGTAACTTGATGAAAAATGGTCGTAGAGCAATAAAATTATTGAAGCCCGTTTATCTTTTGAAAGAGAAGCAAAAATTTTGAAAATTTTTTTTCCGCTGGATTTGTTATAAATTCTTAAGATCCTTCAGATCCTGAAACTGAAAACTTCAAGCTTCAGCCAAGTTACAGCCTTTTGACGAGTAATCACTTACCCCTTATAATATCGTCATCTTCATACAAAAAATTGATGATAGATTTATGGTACTCTAATAATATATCTGGAAAATAGCGTTGTGACTCTGCTAGACAACTTTTAGATTGCCTTCCTGATTCTCTTCTACATTCATCAATTAGCGCTAAATATTCTTCTCTGGGAGTTACGATTGCTTTTTTTTTACTAAGGCATGACTGCGTTTCATCAAAAGTGTACTAAAATATATTTTGATCAGAAATTGCTTGATTATTAAAACAAAAACCGTAGAGGAAGAAGTGGATATGTACTGAAGAAACTAATACAAGCTCGTCAAACTTGGATGTTATAATAATAATATTTTCTAAGTATTTTATAAAAATATGTTGAAATATATTTTATGAATATTGATATAAAAAAAAACATGCGAAATTTTTTTTCACTCACTCACCTGCAATTTTTCTGCTGCTTCATATTGTCCATTAGCTTTACAATTGTCAATAATTATTTTATCCAGGATAGTTACATACTGGCCGAAACCACTGACAGCATTTCTAGCAATTCTTCTGAGCACTGAAAACGTAAATGATCGAACTGAAAGACTTTTAAAAAAATAATTATTTTAATTTAAAAAATATTTTCTAGTCGAAATTCTATTAACAAGAGGTAAGAAATGACACTTTTTTTAAACATAAAATATATTAATTTGAGACCAAATATGTGATTAACTGAATTTACATTTTCTCTTCAACTGATCTCTTTGGAGACATTTTTCAGTCTGCAACTGTACTAAATAGAAAAGTTCTCTTTAATTCTAACATTTACAGTTTAAAAGTAAAGTTAATTTGATATTGTAGTTTACTATAGCAAGGAAGATAATGGAGATAATAATAAAACTAACTGTGAATATTGTAAATAAAAAATAACAATTCCATTTTTTCAATTTATACAAGATTTTTTGGAAAAAGGTACCGTAGATCATCATTTAAGTTTCATTTTGCTTCTTTAAAAAGTTGTCACTAGTAAAAATGGAATAAAAACATTGCTTTGAAGGCCAATAACCATACAAGGAAGCAAGTTTATACGAAGGTAATTTGATCTAAATCGGTTTATTGTCATCCAAGGAAGCTACCTTTGTAGTATGGCCTATTCGTTTCTGGACACCCTGTATATTAAAGAATAGGAGCTAGTTGACTTTGGAACAGTTAATTGCGTTTTTCACACAGCGATCTTGTTTCAGCGATATCAACAAGAGTACTTTTTTATGTAAAAAGATGAAATTTTACATTATCTCGATTAGAAAGTGATTTACGACCTAAGCTCACTTGAACTTTTTTGTTCAAAATCAAAGAGTAAACATCCTACAGTTATAAATATCTACTTACCAATTTTTTCACTGTTGTTGAATTGTGCTTGACTTACAATTAGACCTGAAAATTAATTTGATTATAAGTACGAGGACATTTAACATTTATCTTGTTTCTAGATTGTATTATGAATTAAACAACACTTACATAATAAAAACGGCAATAGCACAGTAAGCGTCATTTTCGAATTTAGACGAACAGCAATGTATTCTTGTAACTATCAGCAGCTCTAAGCCTGCGATATTATGTTAAAATAATTATAAAAGTTTAGATGTATGTCCCCTCCATCTCCGCAGCGTGATTTTCAGATTAACAATAAAATAATAGTAAGTAGAATTCAGGAAAGTCCAATAACTCGTTGAGACCCATGACCAAACATGTATAGGGTGGCACAAATTTTGTTGAAGGCAGGCCTTTACCTAAATAAACAAGTATAATAAAAATTCAAATGAATAAAGTTATAATACTTGGCTCTAAATCTAAATCTATCACATATCTAATTTGATAATTGTAGTATTCTCATTCTGACACCAGTTGAACGTATTGCTTGCCATAATATTGAAGTTTAATAGATGGAATATTTACCATAAAAATTGTTTTTAGTAAGTATTACTACATCATTTTTTTATATTACTTTTTCCAAAAATACAACTATCATTCGATATATTACAAGCAAATAATACGCATACAAGCCAATTTTCTCACAACGACTTTGTAATAACAAACGTTTACAAACCTTTGCTAAATATGCGTCTTAAGGTGCGTCCACATTGCTTTATGCTCCTGCTCATACATCTGCTGGTGATCGTACTTACGCTGTTCGGCTGCGTTGCTTCTTGAAGTGGTTCTTGTTTCTTAAGATCATTCTGAGCGCAAATAAGTGTGTCTACATTGCTTTTTAGTATGTGGGGTTTGGATTTGGATGATAATGAAATATTATCAGTTATTACTGCATTATTAATTATAATGCACTGAAGAAAAAGCGGTAAAAAGGCGTTGTTGGATGTCAAATGTTTTTTTCAGTACCTCTAAGTACATTGGAGATAATTTTCATGATTTGCAATCAGATGGGTTTATTTTAGTAACTTTTCCGGTATGTCTGATGTGGATTTTGAAATATTAATTGATTTAATACTACTTTTACAAAAATTTAAAACATGTATGTGGTGACAAATGCCAGTTCCAATTACTTTTTTATAAAGGCAATAATTTTCTCGATCTGTTGTTTGAGAAAGGTTATTGCAGTTTCCATCTAAAGAGAGTACCCATTTCTTTGGTTAAACTGAACAGAAATTGATGTATTTTGAAATGTTATTAATAATTGTTTTTTTTTAATACAACTACGTTATAATTTTTATTATTCATTGGTACTTTTTGATATCCTAATGTATTCAATAAGTCAGAATTAATTCAGTTTCCATAATCGATTTGATTGCATTATTTTTTATACTTTCGTCTTTTGAAACCTATTTCAGTTTTTTTCGTCGTATGGATCGCAGAATATTTTTTCACTTATTAAGGAAAATAAAATGTCTTCACAAGGGTTTTTGAAAATACAATATATATTTTTTAATTCTAAAACATTCAGTGTCTACAATATACATTTGTTCATCATTTATGTAATATATTTTGTGTAGGATTATTAAAATGTCAAACACTTTGATACAGACATATGAAGTATATAGATAGTTTTTGCTAAAATAAAAGCTTTATTAAATATATAAGTGTAACTATGAGAAATGGTTTAAATGTGCCACATTGTACGGCTTTATTTGTTTTGCAAACATTCTTGACAACTACGATATAATCTTTTACAACTTTTTTAACTGCAGCTGTATTGTTGCAATTTTCCTTTATAAAATTCATGAAACAGGAAGGTGTTTCTACGATTTTCCTAAAATAAGGCATACTTTGACTCATTTATTCTATTTAAAGTAGGATATTTTCATTATATTTTAAATAGAGTGTACATGAAAAAAATATATTGCTCTGAAATTAAACAGAAGATTTTATGCTTTCATTAATACTAAAGTGGAGGCTAATAAATATTCACTGTTCATAATAAGTGAGTACTAATAATAAGAGAATATTAAGTGAATCTAGCTCTGAGAAAACATTATTAATGACTTATTACTAATACCATTGTATAAGTAAATATATTATAATATAATATATTTATAATGTATAATTTATATAATTATATATACAGGGTCGGAAAGTTCCCATGGTTCATCGGCCGTTACGTGAGAGCGATAAAGTAAGTCATACAAATCCATGCGATAGAGAAAGATGGCTATAATGAAGGCGTCTAATAGTCACCGCCCATTTCGCCCTTCCACAAATAAGAAGTGGATCTTATTTGTGGAAGGGCGAAATGAGCGGTGACTATTAGACGCCTTCCATTATAGCTATCTTTCTCTATCGCACGGATTCTATGACTTTCTTTATTGCTCTCACGTAACGGACTATGAACCATGGGGACTTTCCGACCCTGTATTTACTTATACAATTCTAATACTTACTGACAAAATACCTCCTTAGTGTCGGGTATTCGAGGGGAATCGCCAATACGAATAACACCTTCCTTGAGACATTGATAATAGTCAGTTTGTACTTTCGTATTCCTGAATTTAGAAAAGCAGTCATCTAAAACAAGACATATTGGTAACTACTGCATATTTATAGATGCTTAGCATTTAAAGAGGGACCACTTACCATTTATAATGTCGTAATTTTCATACCTAAAGTTGATGATAGATTTATAATACATTAATAATAAATCCGGGAAATAGCGTTGCGACTCTGCTAAACAACTTTTAGATTGTTTTACTGATTCTCTGTTACATTCGTCAATGTGAGCTAAATAATCTTCTCTGGGAGTACCGGATATTTTCTTTTTAAAAAGGCATGCCTTCGTTTCATTAAAAGTGAGCTAAAATATATTTTAATCAAAAATTGCTTGATCATTGAAATATTAATTGTATATACACTTTTATACGAGTATTCTGCACCCTATTGAAGTATTTTAATATTTTGATAAAATTTTGAAGAATATACTTAATAACATTCATGTTTAAGTATTTTATAAAAATATATGCAAATTCAGAGTATCCCAGAATATGTGGACAATCTCTCGGATTTATACAGGGGATGTTAAAATAACATGACAAGTTTTTATAAAACATTTTCCCTAGAGGACCCTTGTCATCTTATTTTAACGACTCCTTTATAAATCCCAGAGATTGCCCACATACTCTGGGACACCCTGTATACATGTATTTTATGAATATTAATATACAGGGTGATTCACAACTTATCCAAAAAAATTTGGGAATAGATGCAGCATGAGAAATGGAATCAATATAGTAAAAAAAAATTTTGTAAAATCCTTATAGTTTCCGAGAAAAAAATTATTGAAGTTATAGTACATTCAACCACTACATAGCTGGACAACTGTAGTCTCTAGCGTCATTCGCAATACGCGTGGAGAGCCATGTGACTCCTAATACTGAAATCCGTCGTTGCGGTAGTTTTTACCTGTTATCTGTGGTATTTACAACAGTTTTTTAGTAGTTAGTGTCAAAAATGGCTTGCGTGTATAGCAACTCAGAGTTGATGGATATCGTTTTAATTTATGGTGAAGCAAGACAACATTTGTATTATGGTGAAGTATTTGTGTTATGGTGAAGCAAGACATCATTTGTGTTAGTTCGTAGAAAGTGAGTAAGACGGACCCAAATGTGTTTACACGTGAGTGGATAAAATTTTGAACAATTGCTGTTGCAGCATCGGGTATGTCAAATGATTTTATTATTTAAAAACACAAATTAATTTTATTAATTAATAAAGGCAAAAGCAGTTGAATTTGCCGATATAAAATAGGTGCGATAAAATTCTATTTACATATTTCTTTCCTTGCGAAAGTTTTTGTCCGTTTTTATCACACCGCCATGCCGGTCGCATTATGCGAGGTCAGGTTTTACAGTGGACCAGTTTCCAGTGCCGTGCAAAAGTGTATTTTTAAATCATTTTCGAACTGCTCATTTTGATTTTTTCTATACAAAATTGTATTTGTAAGGGTCCCCTGTACATCCAGAATTTTTTTTGGATAAGTTCTGAATCACCCTGTATATAAAATAAACAAGTTTTTCTGCTGCTTCATATTGTTCATTAGCTTTACAATTGTCAATAATTATTTTATCCTTCAATTGTATGTACAGCTCAAGACTGCTAACAGCATTTCTCACAATTCTTCTGAGCACTGAAAACGTAAATGATCGAACTGAAAGATTTTTTAAATTTTTTATAATTATTAATATAATAACATTTGATAGCAGTAAAACTCAATTAAAAACTCTTTTGTGGTGGAAATTCTATTAACTAGATGTAAGTAATGACATTTTTTGAAACAAAACACAGTGATTTAAGATCAAATATGTGCTTAACTGAATTCTCTGAATATCTTCTGACCGCAATTGTACTAATAAAGTTCACGAAAAACGATAAAAAATAATTAAATTCCACAACCTGTATCTCAGTTAGAAAGCGATTTATGTTCACATAAACTTTTTTGTTCAAAATTTATCAACTGCTAAAGTTAGCAATTTTGAAAAAGGAACACCCTACATATAAGTTATAAATATCTACTTGCCTATTTTTTCACTGCTGTCGAATTGTGCTTGAATTGGACCTAAAAATTAATTTTATTATTTGATTCTAAGGTATAATATTCTATACTGTAATAATTATCTTGTTTATATATATTTTTATGAATTAGACAACACTTACATAATAAAAATGGCAATAGTACAATAAACATCATTTTCGAGTTCAGACGAACAGAAATGTGTTCTTACTATCAGCAGCTTTAAACCTGCAATATAATTATAAATTTTATCTGTATATCCTCTCTATCTCCACAGCGTGGTTTCCTGTGTAATTAATAATGCAATAATCAGTAACATTTCAGAAAAGTCCAATGACTAGTTACGATTTGTTACTTCAAATAAATACTTATGGCGTGATACAAATTTTGTTTAAGGTCTTTAACTAAATAACCAGGTATAGGCACAACAAAAATTCAAATGGATAAAAGGACAATATTTGACTGTGTTTTGTACGCTTCATAATCAAGAAGTCTATATAATATTATAGGAACATGAAACACGTCAAATCTATCACATGTACAATTAACTTTTCCACCTACTTGGTTTAATAAAAACATTGTTTATCAAGAAATCTAATAAATAAAATATTTAAGTACCTACATTAGCATTTTATAATAATCGATAATATAGTGGCTATTATAATAAAATTATATACAACAGTGACATTCTCATTCTGCCACAATATTTAAGTTTAATAGATGGAACATTTACCATAAAAATTGCTTTTAGTAAGTATTACTGTATTTTTTTATATTGCCAGAATTGCTCCACCACCCTCTATTTTTTTTTAATCGCGAAAAATCGCGCTTAAATACAGAAAATATGGAAAATCCTCCTATTTTTCAAAACTAGGGGGTGTCCAACTTCATCTTTCGTCAATGTTTCTATGCCTATGGGATAGTGGAGACAGAATCACTACGAACAAAAAGTATGGCCAAAAAGAACAGATTTCCATCCAGGATTGAAAAACATCATCTACGAACCCTTAGCTGATCCTTCATATATTCTGCTCCAACCTCTCCATATCAAACTTGGTCTCAGGAAACAATTCGTCAAAGCTTTGGACAAAGATGGCTACAGTTTTGGATATTTAGGAAAGTTTTCTGAAATAAATGATACTGAACTGATAGAAGATATTTTCGATGGTCCTCAAATCCGTACCGTGTTCGGAGGTGAAAAATATATCACAAATAGGGCTTCCCGATACGATACGATACCGATATTTTTGTAAATTATCGATATCGTATTGAATCATGATTGAATTTATCGTCTTGTATTGATATCGACAATATTATTTTTGTAATATTATCGTATCGATATTGATTTCAATTCGATATCGATACGATATTCAAAGACGACACTAATTGTAACAAGATTTCGCAATGTTCCCAATATAAATCGAACTAGAATTTAGTTGCTTACCAAATTTTATTGTTTAAATTTTGTTGGTATCAATTGAGTTTCACGAGTTTCTGGTGGAGGTAAAATAACCTCACTTTAAATAAGGTTCATTTGTTTATTTTTTAATAGTTATGAATTATAGAAAACTTAGGGAAAGTGCCATTCGTTCATATTTTTGTTTTGTTTTCTTTACAGCTACATTGATTATAATGAAAGCGTCTCCGACTTACATATCATACATTTTTTATCATTAAAAGAATTGTTTTTTTTTTGTTTCCACATTTTACTATGTATATTTTGAATATAAGACAAACATAAATATTGTTTATATATATTTTTTTTAATTTCCGCATCTACACTACGTCTTGAGTATTTTGTATAATTTTTACCAAATGTTATTGCTTTTGTTTACATACATTGGCTTTTCTGTTACCATCAGAAAAATTCATTAGTAAACATTTTGTATAGCAATAAGTAGAATTTCTGTATGTGAATCTAAATAAAAGTCTAACTATTATGTCTTTTAATTTGCATTTAATATTACACTTTTCCTAAAAAAAATGGAGCGGTATTATCAGCCAGGGGTTGATTGTTGATTATTGTGAAAACTGAAATCATTGTTCAACTGCAATTACTGATCCTTCTGATCTATTCATCTGCACTGCCCTCTAATTTTTTCTTCATCGACCTTTTAATTCGTGATACCGTACAATTGTTGTTTTACCTAAGTACATTAACATTTTTAGGTATATATTAAGATAATCATTAAGGAATATTGCCACGGTAAAAAAAATCTTTCTAACCTAAAAAAAATATTTTGGTGTTGATTGAAATATTCTCTCAATATTTCAGTCAACGTTTTTAGTCTTTATTACTTATTGCACCAATTCATTTACCTTTAATAAACCTATTTAGCAAAATAAACTAAACAATATAATAACTTGGTAAAAGTTAGTAGTTTAGCAGATGACTTTTTGTGATTTTAAAATTAGTATTTGTGGAAAATATAAGATCTCGTGATATACAATTAATTTTACGCTTAATTTATTATTATTGGGTGTCATTATGCATTCATTTTATTACTTTAGTATTATTTTATTTAATGGGAACTACCTACAAAGTATTTTAAATTTTGCCGCGACACCACTTTGATATTAAACTGGCTTTGGTAAGTAACTAGATATGGTAAGTTGGCAACGCTGCGAAATCTTGTTACAATTAGAAAAATTAAAATTATATCAAATTCGAAAGTATAACATTTATATTAATTTATGTACAGGGTGATTCACTATATTTTGACCCCCTTTAAGTTTTTTGTTTTAAGAGTTATAAAAAATGTGAAATATAAAAGTTGCACGAGTTTTTATGAATTTTTAGAAAATGATAGTAGAAAAACAAATGAAGTTCAAACAAAATGGTCGCGGATATTAACTTTGTTAAGTTAATCGGAACACCCTGTATATTTTTACATATTTGAATAGAACGTTCCCTGTAGAGCATAGCCATATAGGGTTGGTTGGGTCCATCTCTAACAATAAGCAAGATACTTCTAAAAAACGAAAAGAAGGTTTTTTTATTAAGAAAATAAGACATTGTTAAACCTTTTTCAGGCATTTCTGCCTTTTTTCAATTATATAAGGATTTACAGATTTAGTTATAATATATTTTGACAGATATGGTCCAAAATGCATGTAGATATTGTAATTTCACTAATTAGGCCGTGAGAGGCCTAATTACTCATGGACAATGTTATATGGTAGGCCGTGACAGTGACAGGTAATGTCATGACAACATTGTTATTGTTTGACAGTTTGTATTATTCTCATATATTAAAATTTGATAGCTCCGTCCGCGTTATTTAATTAAAATGGG